TATCTGTCTGTCTATCTGTCTGTTTATCTATCTGTAGCTCCTCCACCCAGTAAATGCAACAGACGTGTATCAGGTAAAGTGTTTTGTCTGAATATTATTTTAGTATCACTGAGATACTATTACAGTTTTTGTTAATATTTAATAGTTTCATTTTATAATTAGTTTTTATTTTTAGTTTTATGACTTCATTTTAATTTTAGTAACATCTTTAATAATTTTGTTAATTATGTCTTTTGTATTCATTTTTATTTGTTTTTAGAAGGTTTGTTTTAATTTTTAGTTTAGTTTTAAAATAAGTTTAGTTACGGTTAATTTTAGTTTTTTAAAGTTTGAATTAGTTTTTATTTCAGTTTTAGTTATTTTTGTACATCAAGTTAAACTGAGAAATGTTGCTTTGGAAACTAAACTAAAATAAAAAATTACTTCAGTTCATTTTAATGAATGTAAATGTTTTTATGGTTTTAGTTACTGATTCTAACCCCGCTGTCTCTGGAGCTGTTGTTAGTGTTTCCTGTCATGTGATTGTGAGCGTGTGTTCCTCCAGTGTGTGCAGAGGCGTATAACCCTGATGAAGATGAAGACGAGGGCGGCGAGTTGAGGGTCGTTCACCCCAAAACTGATGAGCAGCGTCAGCGTCTACAGGAGGCCTGCAGGGACATACTGCTGTTCAAAACCCTCGAGCAGGTTCTTACAGACGCGCTAAACTGCTGGTGTCTGTCTGTCTGACTCTCTCTGTGAGTGTGTGTGTGAGTGTGTGTGAGTGTGTGTGAGAGAGAGTGTGTGAGTGTGAGTGTGTGATGTGTGTGTGTGTCTGTCTGACTCTCTCTGTCTGTCTGACTCAGGATCAGTTCGCTGAGGTGTTAGACAGCATGTTCGAGGTGCTGGTCAAACCAAACGAGTGCATCATCAATCAGGGTGACGACGGTGATAATTTCTACGTCATTGAGAGGTGAGAGTGAAGCGTCTGCATCCGTCTGACGTGAGGAGCGGCTGATGAACCCGTCTGTCTGTCTGTCTCTCTGTCTGTCTGTCTGTCTGTCTGTCTGTCTCTCTGTCTGTCTGTCTGTCTGTCTGCCTGTCTCTCTGTCTGTCTGTCTGTCTGCAGGGGCGTGTTTGATATCGTGATTCAGAAGGACGGCGTGAGCCGCTGTGTGGGTCGCTATGATAATAAAGGCAGCTTTGGTGAGCTGGCCCTCATGTACAACACGCCGCGCGCCGCCACCATCAGGGCCACTCAGGAGGGGGCGCTGTGGGCACTGGTGAGAATCCCATCATGCACTGCACTCGTCTCATTATTAATAGTGTTTAATGGAACCCATCAAAAAGTTTTCACATTTCACTTTAATCGCTATAGTCGTAATAGATTTAGTTTAATTGTACAGGGCCATTTTTGTTAGGAAGCTTGTTTCTGCCACATAATTAAAAAATGAATTTGTTGAATTGTGAGAGATCCCATACAGAAAAAAAACATATATGTTTCAAAATATATTTCTGTAAATGTTTTCTACAGATATATTTGTTTGGCAATAGTTTGTAACACATTTTAATAATATACATTTTAAAATTAATTTCACTTTATTTTTTAAAAGCATTAAAAATTTTTATTTTGCTCTAAATATTCAAATCCAAGAAAATACATTCACATATTTGTCATTTGAGAGAAAACTATATTTGTTGTGTAAACATATAACAGAATAAAATTCAGCAAGGAACATACTTTACCCCTTTTTTCTGGCTGAAGTACATTTGTTTCAATCTATAAGAATAATCAGCCTACACTACCAGTCAAAAGTTTTTGAACAGTAAGATTTTTTTTTTTTTTTAAGAATTTTCTTCTGCTCACCAAGGCTGCATTTATTTGATCCAAAGTACAGCAAAAACAGTAAAATGTTGAAATATTTTTACTATTTAAAATTGCTTTCTATTTGAATAGATTTTTAAATGTAATTTATTCCTGTGATCATACATAGGTAAATTTTCAGCATCATTACTCCAGTCTTCGGTGTCACATGATCCTTCAGAAATCATTCTGATATGCTGATTTGCTGATTATCAATATTTAAAAAGTTGAGTACATTTTTTTTCAGGATTCTTTGATGAATAGAAAGATCCAAAGATCAGCATTTATCTGAAATGAAAAGCTTTTGTAACATTATACACTATTCCATTCAGTATAATTTTTATAATTTTTTGGGGAAAGAAATTATAGAAATTAATACTTTTATTTAGCAAGGATGCTTAAAATTGATCAAAAGTGATGATAAAGGCATTTATAATGTTACAAAAGATTTCTATTTCAGATAAATAGTGTTCATATCGATATCGGAATTATATCGTATCGACCGAAATTAAGAAATATATCGTGATATCAATTTTGGCCATATCGTCCAGCCCTAATAACAATAACTAATAACAATGCAAATAGTATTAAAATAAGGTGCTGAATAAAAATAAGATAAGAAATTCTGAATATGAAATGACTTCAGAAATGAAATGATGCTGTAAATATGAACTAAAAGTGTCAGTAGGTGGCGGCAAGTGACTGTTTTAATGAGTGAGTCATTGAATTATTCATTCAACTGATTTGTTCAAATACATTGATACTTGTAACATGTTATTTTATCCATAATTTAACACATATTAAATCAATAGCCCTAGTTATTATGTCTCTGTGTGTCAGTTATCGGAGCGCATGAAGATCGTTGACGTGGTTGGGATGAAGACGTTCAGCGATGGCGAGCAGATCATACGGCAGGTGTGTTTCGTTGATCTCCTCGTGACGTCATCATCGTTCATCTCTGATCAGCATAACTGTGTTTGTTGTCAGGGCGATTCGGCCGACTGCTTCTATGTCGTGGAGTCTGGAGAAGTCAGGATCATGATCAGAAGCAAAGTAAGACTCTGTCGCTCATGTCGCGTGTTTAGCGTGAGTCTGATGTGTGTGTTTAGCGTGAGTCTGTTGCGTGTGTTTAGCGTGAGTCTGTTGCGTGTGTTTAGCGTGAGTCTGATGCGTGTGTTTAGCGTGAGTCTGTAGCGTGTTTAGCGTGAGTCTGTTGCGTGTGTTTAGCGTGAGTCTTGCGTGCGTTTAGCGTGAGTCTGATGCGTGTTTAGCGTGAGTCTGTGAGTCTGTTGCGTGTGTTTAGGGTGAGTCTGATACGTTCTATGTTCCACGCACATTCCACAGTGATCTTTGTAGTCTCTGAGAGGTTATATTAGCGTGAGTCTGTTGCGTGTGTTTAGCGTGAGTCTGATGCGTGTGTTTAGCGTGAGTCTGTTGCGTGTGTTTAGCGTGAGTCTGATGCGTGTGTTTAGCGTGAGTCTGATGCGTGTGTTTAGCGTGAGTCTGTTGCGTGTGTTTAGCGTGAGTCTGATGCGTGTGTTTAGCGTGAGTCTGTTGCGTGTGTTTAGCGTGAGTCTGTTGCGTGTGTTTAGCGTGAGTCTGATGCTGCCGTGTCTGCAGACTCAGGCGGGTCAGAGGTCACAGGGGGAGGTGGAGGTCGCGCGCTGCTCCAGGGGTCAGTATTTCGGTGAGCTGGCGCTGGTCACCAATAAACCCCGAGCGGCGTCTGTGTACGCGGCAGGAGAGACCAAGTGTTTAGGTATGAACCTCACCAAGGACAGATGCTGAAATACCACAGCAGTGTTCTGTACTGTATTTTCTGTAAAATAACTCGCACTTAACTATAAGTCACACCGGGTCAAAATTGCAGTGTTGAGAGAAAAAAAACACAAATGTGAGCCTGGAGCACAAAAGCAGTGTTAATTCGCTGGGGTATATTTGTAGCAATAGCCAACAATACATTGTATGGGTCAAAATTATACATTTCTCTTTTATGCCAAAAATCATTAGGATATTAAGATCATGTTCCATGAAGATATTTTGTAAATTTCCTACCGTAAATATATCCGAACTTAATTTTTGATTAGTAATATGCATTGCTAAGAACTTAATTTGAACAACTTTAAAGATGATTTTCTCAATATTTAGATTTTTTTGCACCCTCAGATTCCAGATTTTCAAATAGTTGTATCTCAGCCAAATATTGTCATATCCTAACAAACCATCGTTCTTATCATTTTTTTTCAGTAATTTTTTTTACTGTCATCCAAAAACTTTCAGCAAAAAACTTTTTTCTCTCATCAATTTTTTCTTATCAAATTTCTTTCTCTTATCAAAATATTTTTTCTCTCATCAAAAACTTGATGAGAGAAGAAAACGCTGGCTAGTCATTAGCCGCTACAGCACGAGATCTAATGCTAACGCTGCTTCTCTGCTGATCTATCCTTGCTTTGCAAATCAAGACAAACTCAGCTTACGTTTGATTTGGCATTCACCGTCATATCTAACAACTGGAGTTATGAAGTAGTTTTTGAAAAGAGAAAAAAAAATTGAGAAAGTTTTTTTGAGAATTGTTTTTTTTTTTTTAAAGATGTGACATCAAACAAAATATTTTTAAAAAATCATTAAAACCATTAAAATATCTGTTAATGCAAAATAAAGTGTGAAGTGCAAATCCCTATAATGCACCACACGTCGTGAAATTATCCACCTGCAGGGGATTGTGGGTATTTCCTCCAGTGGACATGCTCAGTAACACATGCTGCTTCACCTTCATGCTTTTACTGAAGATCACATGATTCATCAGAATTCATTCATTCATTCCTTTCATTTATAAAGCACTGTACAACTGCAGCTGCAGACCTAAGTGCTCTATAATCAACATGCAGCTACATAACTAAAAACCCAACTTTTTAACCCCAGCTTTAAAGGTGTTTATGGATGTAATCTCAGACGGCAAACTAATCCAAAGCCTCAGACCCGCAACAGCAAAGGCCTGCTCATTAAATATGAAAAGATGATGACTCAAAGTCAGGCCGTGAACTGAACATCACGAGTTCTGATGCTGATGCGTGTAAAGCTGCTCGAACTAAACAATTCAGAAGTTGGCTTTTTTTTGTAATCATTAGTTCAATCAATGGTTAAAAGAGTTTGACAGCAGAACTTGGATGTTTTTGTGCATTTTCATGTTTTATGTCAATTAATCACTAGAAATTCTACTTTAGTAAAAGTGTAAAAATACTGTACAACGTCCGTCAGAAAACGTGAGACGAGCTGCTCATCAATAAACACACGTGATTAATATCATTTATCTACAGCGACTAATTCATCACGTGTTCACTGAATACAATGACTCCACTGCAGTATGTTAGCAAGCTAATGTTTAAACCGCTATACATCCATGTGTTCAGCTTTACTCTGTGTTATTTTACATTTCTCTAAATGTGACCCTGGAGCACAAAAGCAGTGTTAAGTCGCTGGGGTATATTTGTAGCAATAGCCAACAATACATTGTATGGGTCACAATTATAGATTTTTCTTTTATGCCAAAAATCATTAGGATATTAAGTAAAGATCATATTCCATGAAGATATTTTGTAAATTTCCTACCGTAAATATATCAGAACTTAATTTTTGATTAGTAATATGCATTGCTAAGAACTTCATTTGAACAACTTTAAAGATGATTTTCTCAATATTTAGATTTTTTTGCACCCTCAGATTCCAGATTTTCAAATATTGTCCTATCCTAACAAACCATACATCAATGGAAAGCTTATTTATTCAGATGATTTCAGAAAATTGACCCTTATGACTGGTTTTGTGGTGCAGGGTCACAATAGTGATTGAACAGCAGAATGAATCCAAACTCTGTGTGTGTGTTGTGCAGTGATCACCGTGCAGGCGTTCGAGCGTCTGCTGGGCTCCTGTAAGGAGATTCTGAAGAGGAACATCCAGCAGTACGAGCAGCAGCTGCTAGCCCTGTTCAGATCCACCGTAGATCTCAAACACTGAACCACAGACACCTCACGCTAGATTAAAACATCTGCGCCGTCAGTTTGAGAAGACTAACATCACACACAACAGTGAATCAAATCCACGGCTCAGAAAACAATATCGAGCAGAATTTGAAAAGCTCTGACCTTCAGCAAACACAGCTTTTGTGAACTGAGACGAGTTGTTACTTTCTAAGCGCTGAAGAGGTTTTCAACCCAAATGTTCCTTGTTTTCTGACAGATTCTCACCACTGACTCCAGCAAGTGTACTTGTGTTTCACTGTAATCCATGTTTGTGATTTCTCTTGATGAATAAAGGCTACAATGAAAGAGTGACAAGTTTTATGGACTTTTTTTTTTATTTAAGAAAGCTTGAAGTGCCCGCAACAAACCCAGCCGGCCCTGACGCCTCACGAGTATTTACACCACAAGCACAGTTTGATTCAGCTGTCGTCGGTACGGTCCGGTCCGGCTCTGTTGGGTTTGGGTCGTCTGGCCAAGGTTTAAATATTTAAAATATGTACAGCCCGGCAAACCAGAACCTCCATGATCCTGTTCATCTGCTGCCGGTCGATCGGCGTGATCTCCAGCGTCCAATCAATCAGGGACACATGACTCGTTAAAAACACACATTTATCTTACAATAACTTCTATGATTTGTTCATCAAAAAATAGACTCAAAAAAATCACCAAATAAAGAAAATGTCCCTTTTCCCTCAAGACATTTGTTTTTGTTTCCTGCCCAATGAATGTTTCCGTGAACAAAAATGAAACGGATCAATAAATACACAGACCGCAGACACGTGCAGTCAGACTGCAGAGGAGCCGCGAGGAGCGGGGGAATCAGACGGAGGTGATGACGATCATGAGGTGCGGAGAGATGCTGGAGATCTGGCTGAGGAGGTCCGGAGCCAGGCGAGACAGGTGGCTCTCGGAGAACTCGCACGGAGGGAAGATCTGCAGCACATACGCAGGCTGTGGAGGGAAACGAGTGTTTCAGATGCACTGCGGTGGCAGGAGAATGAGCATGTGTGTGTGTGTGTGTGTGTGAGACGAGCGCTCACCTGGTTGGAGCCGGGGTTGGGGACGTTGATGATGCCGGCTGCTAGTTTGGCCTGCAGGTAATTGATGAAGGCGGATTTGAGCGCCTGCGTCTGGTTCAACACGTCCTCCTGGTCCAGACCACAGGGCATGGCCAGCAGCAGGCAGAAATCACTTTCCCCCTGAAAACACGGCACATAAAACATTTTTCAGCCAAATGTTTCATGCCCAATAACCATCATGGTAAATGGAGATGCCTGTGAAAATGGGCTTGCATTGCATCAAATAAGTGTTTTACTTTTGATATAAACATTTTCAAATGAACGGTTCACCCCAAAACACAAAACTTGCTGTAAATGTGTTCACTCTCAGGTCATCTGAGATCAGGATGAGTTTGTTTCTTCATCAGGTTTGGAGAAATGTAGCACTGCATCAGTGTCTCAGCAATGGATGCTCTGCAGTGAATGGGTGCCGTCAGAATGGGGGGCTCATTCTCATGAAAGTGCGCATCAATAGCAGGATTTTCTATTTTGCGTGCTATTTATACACAGAAATCATCTGCTGTTGTCGCTCTCATCAGAATCCAGCCACATATTTGTTTAGAGCTGTTTAAACGCTGCTTGATCTGTGCAGATTTCTCTCCTGATTCACACCAGAACACTGACTCACTGGAGGAAGCGTTATTATGGATTATGGACTCTATGTATTTTAGTTAAAAACGTCTTAATGCTGGATGTGTTTCAGCTTTTGTCTTCTCCAGATGTTAACTGATGGACTGGAGTGCTGTGGATTACTTGTGGATTATTGTGATGTTTTTATCAGCTCTCATTCTGACGGCACCCATTCACTGCAGAGCATCCATTGCTGAGACACTGATGCAATGCTACATTTCCCCAAATTTTAATTTTTGGGTGAACTGTTCCTTTAATAGTTGGTTTCTGTGCGTGTTGTGCAGTGGTCTTCTCGCAGTGCAGGTTTGTGTTATCGTCTTCTAAAGGAGTGTTTGTTGTTCAGTCAATATCTTGAGGTTGATGTTCAGTCTGAAAGCTCCTCAGAGACAGACAGATGAACATATCACCTCAGTGTGCTCCAGGTTATTACCTGACCGCTAGTTCAGCACTGCATTACTCCACAAACCTTCAGAAACTATATGAGCTCAACCTCATGGGAGGAATGAAATTAGTGGATAAAAAGAAATGTAACACTTTATTTTCAGGACCAAAAATGGTTCTTCTATGGCATTGCTGTGAAGAACCTTTAAAGCACCTTTATTTTTAAGAGTGTATATTATATAAGCACAAACTTTTATTTTGGGTGTGATTAATCGCGATTAATCGTTTGACAACACTAGATATTATATGTGACCCTGGAGCACAAAACCAGTCATAAGTGTCAATTTTGTGAAATTGAGATGTATGCATCATCTGAAAGCTGAATAAATAAGCTTGAAGATTGATGTATGGTTTGTTAGGATAGGACAATATTTGGC